CATCATGAGTTTTGATAGTCTTCTCATGTCAGGATTTTATAAAACCCAGGATTGGCCAACCTACATGTAAACCATCTCAGGGGGCATGCGCGATCTTGGTGGGCATCTTACAGAGCTTCCTCCCAAGTTCATAAAGTTATATCTGGCTTCAAACTCCAGCTCTGCCCTTGCTCTTCCCAGAACCAGGGCAAGTTCCTTAACCCCTCTAGGTCTCATTTCCTGCATATATGAATTGCAGACATTCAGAATACTTCTCCAATTGGGTTGTTGTGAGGAGTCAGTGAGGTTGGGTATATAAAGAACACAGCAGAGGGCCCAGCATGTAGTAATCACTCAATAAATTCCAGCAGTTGTTAATAGCATTGATCATAGGAGTGAGCTGAGTTTGAAAAGTAATTCTCTGTTCTTTATCCATTTGTGGCCTGGCTATTAAGGAATTAAGTCCAAATCTTAGTATTTGACCAACTTTCTCCCTTCTGGGCCAAGGAAGTTCATTTTTACTCATAATAATCTCATCCATGTTTTCTCATCCAATAACCTGCCATGTTTTCAACAAGAGATGATTTATTACTCTTAATGCAAAAGATATTTCTTCCAATACTCTCAGACTCACAGAGAGGAGTCAACTTGTCATGACTCCCAAGTTCTCTCTGGGGCCCTGCCTTGTACTTAGTCTTGCCATTGCTGCCTCATCATCAATGGGCCCGACACCCATCCAGGGGCCTCTTCTCACTGTTTCTGTGGGTCAGGAGTTTGGATGCAGCTTGACTGGGTTACCTGCTCAGGGCATATGTATGCAGACAAGACGAAAACAGACAGGCATCTTCCTGGGGTCAGCGTGGAACACAGTGTGAAACCAGATTGAGATAGTAGCCTCAGCACAGACACCAGCCTTGTCAAGGGTCCCCAGCGCCTGGCCGTAGACATCGGAGCAGAAAGCTAGAGCCCAACAAGAGTAAATACTGCGTGGAACCAGAGGGTCAGAGGTCACATGTCCACATGAGCCGTCCCCTGGGACTTCCAGAAATAACCAAGGTGAGATCCTTGGCAGGGAACCCTAGGCAGGCAGGGGTGGGGAACCTTTCTTCTGCCAATGGCCATTTGGATATTTCTAACATCATTCAAGGGCCATACAAAATTATCATCTTAAAATTAGCCTGCTATATTTGGTCAGACATTTAATTAACCCACCGCTAATGCCTTGGCAGGGCCAAATCCAATGATTTCTGGGTGGGGCCGGACGTTCCCCACCCCTATAGTAGCGTGAGAGGCACAAGGTGAGCATGAGGTAACTATAAATATTTATTGGCAGTTGACAGCATGGAGGGTGTGATGGGAAGGGTGTGATCCTCCCCAAAGGCTGGGGTCTCTGAGGGCTTAGGAGTATGACACATTTTTCTTTCCAATGGTATCAGAAGTCCCTACAGTACAGGGATTCACTTTGTCTCCTGGTGTGATGTACACTAGACACCTGGTGAAGACTGTGGATGGTGAGAAAGACACCGTGGTCTGTCTTAGTGATTTTAATACAAATAAGCTTGTCCTTCGCCCTCTTGACTGTGTCCTTTGCCTGGAAGCTGCTTTTTTTGCAAGGTCTGCTGAGGAGAGAATCCACAGTGCAAACATCTGCCACATCACACCACAGCCAGGGCCCACATCAAACTGCTAGAAAGTACCCCTCGAAGCCCTCCCAGGCTGAACCCACTCCCCAAGTTCTGGGTGAGCAATCAACCCAGAAAATGTGGGAGAGGGGAAAGCATCCAGGCATGCATGGACCACTTCCAAAATATTCAATGACACCATTTAAACCACTAGGTGGTGGCTTAGTTCATTATATGGCAATTGATGACTAATACACCCTCTACCTATGGTGTGTGCCCCCATTCCAGAAAACACCACCCTTAAAGAATAGCATTAAGGCACCATTCCATGGGGAGGGGTGATGGTGAAAAGTACAAGAACACCCTGGGGAGGGAAACTAGAGGGGAAATCAAAAGCCTTAGGTTCTGCTTCCAACTCTATCAAGACCCAGCAGCTGTGGGAGCTGGGTGAGATCATTTCCTCTTCTGTGAAGTGGAATTAATGATAAATGCCATTCTTACATCACACTGTTATTATGAGACTCAAATTACAGAACCCGAGTGAAAGCTTTGTAATATGTGAGGTTATGACCAAGTAAGGGTTATAGTCATCAGCATTATCATCATCATCATCATCATCATCATCTTTATTGCTGCCTGTTACAAGGTAAAACCAACAAGAGTGTGAATGTATCAGTCAAAGTCCAACCAGGTAAATGGACACCACTCTAAGTCCGTGATTTTCTGCAAGAATTTTTAAAACATGCGATACCTGACTATTTAGTCAGCAGCATGGACTTCTTTTTCCTTAAGTTGTCAAATAAAAAAATGTCAGCAGCCAATACAATAATAGCCACCTGGTGTGAGTGAATGAAAATTATATCTATTTTTTGTAAGATCAGAAAAATACATGTACTTTGGCATGCCACAGAATTTCAGTAGTTTATGAGTGCCGTGAGATGAAAAAGGTTGAAAACCTCTGCTCTGTGTATTTGAAATGGGGAAGTCAGCATGGGGAATGGGTAGCACAGGTGATGGAAAGGCTAGAAAGACAAAAAGAAAATAATGAGGCAACGCAGAGCTTAATGATAGCAGGAAGCCACTGCCACCCTTCGCTGCAGGGACAAAGGCAGGAGGCAGGACATGGGAACCCAAGGCCTGGGGTCACCCTTTGAGAAGAAGGATCCAGAGCCAAGGAAGAGATGCGACCTGCGCCGGACACAGGCCGAGGGGAGGAGAACAGCATGGCTTCCCCTTTCCTGGCACCCTTCGATCGTGGTCCAGTGCCCCCCTCGGCTGGGCCCAGGCAGAAGTTAGTCGATGTGGAAGTGATGAGTGGATCTGAAGCCAGCAGGCCCTGGGCCACAGAAGCACTCTGTTTAGCAATAATAACCTAGAAATGAAAGTAACATGACAAAGAGACTCGAAGGTCCAGAGCCAGGCTCCAGCAGCGCATGGGAGCTCATCTGGTCCCACCCCGCATTCTTCATGCGAGGCTCCAGCGAGGAAAACCATGGGATGTGCCCAGGTTCGTGACCCAGCTGGCCAGGGGGCCTGGGACCCAGGCATCTGAACTCAGCGCGGAGCTCTTTTCACGGCATTAACTTACACGGACTAGCAGAGGCCCTTCGGCTTCAGAGGGATGCATCCCAATGGTTGGATTCTGAAAAAGGCGTTTGGACCTTAGAACTCCTTTTCCCCGAGAAACGAGGTCATCTTGGCCGATGATGGTGCCAGACTGGCTATCGAATGCCTAGTTAGCCCACCGCATGGCAAAGGAAGGAACCTTCAGACTCTGAATGAAAGAAATCAAGAGGCTCCAGGGCCGGCAGAAGAGAATTTCCCCCTCCCTCCCTCTGCCACACGGGCTGGCGTTTCTCCTGGCTCTGCCATGACGGGGGTGTGGTTGGGGGACTCCTTGCCTTCCATCTGGTGAGAAGATCCTCCTCCATCACCATGTTCCTTCCTTTGGTCGCAGGGCCAGCAGCAAACAGACCAAGGCCTTCTGGAGGGCGGTTCTCTTTTCCTTTTTGTCCTTTATAACTTTGCACCCTCGACACCCATCCCAGTCCTGTGATTGTCACCCAGGACCACAGCCTCCCTGGAGGGGTCTGACGCAGCATCTTTGGGGTGGGCGATGGGGGAAAGTAGGGACATGATTTTATATTTAGAAAGAAAAAAATCCTGTTGTTTTCATGCTGTAAGTAAAGTTAAAATTTGTGTCCACATTCAAAGTGCTCTTAGAGGTGAGGAGAGTTAGGGAGAGATAGGGGTGCTGATGTCTGTGAGATGAAAACTCCTTTGTAGGGGAGTGGGAGGGTGGGGGGAGCTGTTGTAGATTCATGTCCTCCTGGTTTGGGCAGAGAATTCCTCAAATGGCTGCACGGTGGCCCACAGTAAGTCTTCTTCTTTTACACTTGTCACCTGCAGTTGCTGAGCTCCAGTTTCAGGAAGCAAACGCCCCCGAGAGAGAAACTACCCATCCCTCCAAAAATGAGAACCAGGGCAAAATTCCTGGGAACTTGAAAGGTCACTTGGTAGCTGATGCAGAAATGGAAACTGAAATGGATTTTGTGCTCTGCAGGGCCACGCTGTTTCCTCTCACTGCGGCTCCGGGTCCCAGTTGAGGAGAACAGGAAATCACAGTCTGTGCGGCTTTGGTGGCAGTCACACTCTTGTCCTTTGCGGGAAGTTTCCCACCCTGCAGAAGTGGAAGACACTGTTCCTCATCCCTCATCCCTTGCCCCACCCCATGTTCTCATCCCACTGAGCCAGGGCCACCATCTACGGCCATCAGCACACTGCCCCCCACGCAGGAGGGTCCGTTTCCATCCGCTGCAGTGTGAGTGGTGCCCCCTGGAGCTGGGCAGCGTTTCTGTTAGAACACACCTTGCCGATTGCTTTGTATTAAGGCCGATACCTACAAGGCCAAGTGCTCCCAACTGAGTTAGGATCACCTTTGTGTCCCTGGCAGCTAGCATGGTGCCTGCTACATAGAACCTCAACATAAACTCCTAGGGATTTTAGAAGTGATGAATTGGAGAAGAGGGCCAGCACCGCTCTTAGAAGATAAGTAATTCTTTGAAAGAGGAGCAAAACTCTCATTAGGGCCTGGGTACTTCTGAACTAGTCTCAGATACTTTAAAGAGTAAATAGTGGTTAATGTCTCTGGTGCTGGGGTCAGAAGGACCTGGATTTGAATTCCAGCTCCACAGTGGACTGAGCCAGGCTGGGCATGCTCCCACACTAAGCCTTAGTTCTGTATCCGTGAGGCTCAGCGGAGACGATGCCTTAGGGGACAGTCAGTACATCCCAGTTGCAGTTATGAAGTATGTTGTTATGGCAATTAGGCAGTAATCCTAAAAGGCATATTTCAGCTGTCAATATTCATATCCCACAAGAAGGAATACACCCAACACATAGGAAGTGCTCAATTGATGTTTATTGAATGAGAGAGTATTGAACTGAGTCAGAAGAGAGAGTTTCAAATCTGCCGCCACTGATGTTGTGACTTCCTGGTCTCAGCTCGCTCCTGTTAAAGACGAAAGGTCATTAGATGACACCTCAGGTCCTTCCTTTCTGCAGGATCCATCCCCTCCAGCAGAGACCAGGGGACCAATTCAGAAGCATTTTTGCAGTGTTCCCTCGGGTCCTGCAGGTGGCGCTGCTGAGTTGAGAAGTAAACCTGTTTTTCAGCAACCTGGTTCCCAGCTGCCAAGTCTGTATTAACTGCAGACAGGAATTAGGGAAATCACTTACTTGTTGCCGCCAAAAATGCCCGGGGCCGTAAACGACTCATTCCATTTCCTTTCTTGCCTACTTGGCCTCTCCAGGTGCCATGAAAGCGCCATGGGTGTGGAGAGGCAGCTGGCCCTGGATCCCAAGTCCAGTTCCACCACTTCTGGCTGTGACCTTGGGCAAAGGCATGTGTCCTCTTGGGGCCTCTGCTGTAGTCTGCACAATGAGGAAAATAACAGTGGCATGTGAGTGTGTGGGCTACACGGAGCACTGAGAAAATTAATCAAATAACGTTCACTATTGACAAGCACAGTACCTGGCAGAGTAGGTGTTTAAAAACTGTTGGCTCCCTTCCCTTCCCCTTCTCTCTCATCCACTAGACCCGTGGTCAGCAAACCACGGCTTGTGAGCCACATGCGGCTCTTTGGCCCCTTCAGTGTGGCTCTTCCACAAAATACCACGTGCGGGCGCACACGTACAGTGCGATTGAAACTTAGTGGCCCATGCGCAGAAGTCGGTATTTTGTGGAAGAGCCACACTGAAGGGGCCAAAGAGCCGCATGTGGCTCGTGAGCTGTGGTTTTCCGACAACTGCACTAGACCATGGCTTGTGCTTGAGAAGAAATGAACAGAATGGTGATAGAGTGATGAGGAGGTGGTCCTGCGAGGGGGCTCTCTGAAGAGAGGCCGTGTCATCTGAGGCAGGACGATGAGAAGGATAGGTGGGCCCCAAGCCAGAGGGCCAGCAAGTGCAAGGCCACAACTCGTCTCATCCAGCCCCTCCCCCTCCCTGTCCCTTACCAAAGGACCCACAACCCAGTGGCTCTGTCCTCTGAGCCCACGTCCACCTTGTTCACACCTGTACGGCAGGTGTCGTCTGCCCGTGTCGTGCATTATCTGTTCCCGGTCATGCCTGTCGGGGGACCAGATGAGCATTTTTCATCTCTGTCCCCCCAGAACCTGGGAACCAATGCCTTAAGGAACAGATGAGCCGATGAAAGTGCCACATTGGCGTTTGTGTAGTCTGTATGAGCCATCTTTATTTGTAGGCATCCTGACCATTAGTTGCCACCCATCTTTGTATAGATAGCTACTACTTGGTACATAGTGGGTGCTCAATAAGTGCTTGTTCTGTTGAAATGGAATTGCATTTTCACTGATGGAGCACCTGCTCTGTGCCAGGGGATGAAAGGAGCACTTTTGCAGTGGCATGTCCCTATCCCGTGGCCAAGTGCTCCCTGTGTTGTCTTTCACTTCATCCTCGCAAAAGCCCTGTGACGTAGGCGCTAGCTCCATTTCACAGATGGTGAAGCCGAGGCTCGGGAGGGAACCTTAACATGAGGAGGAGGCAGAGCCAGCCTGAAAGTCAGGCGTCTGGCACTAATGCCCTGGCCATTCACCGCTTTGTCACAAACACACGTGTGCGTGTACGAATAACTCAGGCGTGTTCCGTGTGCGAGAGCTGAGGAATGGGCGGCAGCTGGGCAAGATTTCTCAGGGGAGCATCGGTATGAACTGGACAGTGAAGGACGAGGGGTTTTCCAGATAGGACCTCAGCGGCAGTGGGGAAGGTGCAGGAGAGCGGGGGGAGGAACAGCAGAGGGAACGGAAGAGGTCAGCAGCCTACACTGACGACACCCACAGCAGATGGCACCGGGCCTGGGCACAGAACCACCTGGGAGACAGGCTGCTGCTCCCCTCTGGAAGGTCAAGGGTTGGGTCCAGAGCAGGCCAGCTCAGGGAAGGATACACCAGACAGGAGACTTTAGAAAACCTTTCTGTGTGTTTTTTTAATTAAATCTTTATTGTTGAAAGTATTATTTATGTCCCGTCCCTGCCCCCCATTGACTCCTTCTAGCCAGACCCCAACCCTGCCCCTGGCCACAGGCCTTCACCACCCTATCGCCTGTGTCCATGGGTTATGCCTATATGCATACAAGGTCTTTGGTTGATCATTTCCCACCCACCCATCCTCCCCACCTTCCCTCTGAGATTCCACACTCTGTTCTATGCTTCTGTGTCCCTGGATCTATTTTGTTCATCAGTTTATTGTGTTACTTAGACTCCACATCTGAGTGAGATCATGTGACACTTGTCTTTCTCTGACTTATTTGACTAGGCATGTTATTCTCCAGGTCCCTCTATGCTGTCTCAAAGGGTAAGAGATTCTTCTTTTTTACTGCTGCATAGTATTCCATGGTGTAAATGTACCACAGCTTTTTCATCCACTCATCTGCTAATGGGCATTGGGGTTGTTTTCAGATCTTAGCTACTGTAGATTGTGCTGCTATGAACATAGGGGTGCATACATTTTTTCTGATTGGTGTTTCGGGTTTCTTAGGATATATTCCTAGAAGTGGGATCACTGGGTCAAATGGCAGTTCCATATTTAATTTTTTGAGGAAACTCCGTACTATTTTCCCTAATGGCTGTACCAATCTGCATTCCCACCAGCAGTGTACTAGGTTCCCTTTTCTCCACATCTTCACCAGCACTTGTCGTGTGTTGGTTTGTTGATGGTATCCATAGAAAATGTTTTTTTAGAGACAAGTTTAACAAATAAGAACTTTTAACCTTTTTAGTAGCAGATCTGTGTGACTTGCCTGCTGTTAGGCTAGGCAATCGAAGCACACACACACCCCAAACACTTACTCAGCATTCACTACACACCTGCTATATGCCAGGCACTTACCCTGGACACGAATCCATGCCGCTCCTGTCCTGCTAGGAGAAGCAGTGGAACAGTGGAGGCTTAAACCTCCCCGGGTTTCAGCCTCTACTCTGGTACTCACCAGACAGATAACTTTGAGCTAATGATTTCCCCCATCTGTGCCTCAGTTTCCTCAACTGTTAAATGGAAATACTGACAATATATATTATGTGTGACCATTGTATTAAATACCTCATTCGTGTAAAGGGCTTACACAGTCTGGCTGATGGTGAACACTCAGTAAAGGCTGGCTGTGATACATGTGCGCTACCCTTGAGCATGTGTTCTTTATTGGACACCTATTAAGGGCAGACATTGGGCTGGATGCAGAAGGCTTAGAGATGAGTAGGACCATCCCCCTGCACTGTAGTAAGAATGAGGCTTACAAAGGAAGTGGTTATAGCAGAGGAAAATAAATGCCATAATAATAATAATCCTCCTATATAATAAAAGCCTAATATGCAAATTGTTCGACCACTCACTATGACATGTGCTGACCACCTGGGGGCACCATGGAACATGGCGGGTGTCAGCAATGGGCGCTGGCAGCAGTGGAGGTGCTGCCGGCCCCCTGATGAGAGCGGGACCGCAGAGGGATGGTGGAGCAGGTGAGCAGGTGGTGCCAGGCCAAGGCTGGGGCAAGCGGGGCCAGATCACCCCGCAGATGATGACCAGTGTGACGGCAGGAGCGGGCCACTGCCTGGCTCCCAGGCACTGAGGGAGCTGGAGGGGGCAGGGGTGGCCCTGACCGATAGCCCTGCAGGCAGAATGGTGGAGCAGGTAAGGGGGCAGCGCCAAGCCACGGCAGGGTGCCAGTCGGGGCTGCGGGGCTGTGAGCCTGGGGACCGAGCCCCACAGGCCACCCCGAGGGATCCTACCTGTGCATGAATTTGTGCACCGGGCCTCTAATAGTAATAATAAAGAAGTAACACTTGTGGTATGATTCGCAGATGCCAGGCACTGTATAAAGCTGGGATTTATCCTGTCCTCCTCACAAAGCTTTAGGGGGACATCCTTGTCTGTAATTCTACCTGAGGAAACACAGTATCCCAGGTAGGGGTGTAGTCGGTGTCTGAATTCAGAGTGGAGGATGCACAGAGCCATGGGGGCACTAGGGAGGAGCAAGCTCACCCGCCAATGGGGGGCGGGGGAGGCCACACAGAGGAGACAGCATTTCAGCTGTGCCTTAAAGGATGCTGGGAGAGAAGGTACCCAGGCAGGGCAGACCCTGGAGGAGAGAACGGTGCAGAGAACAGCGAAAAGTTGTTGCGCCAGGAGCCGCTGGGAGCTGTATGGGGAAGAGGCTTGGGTGCTGAGCGGTGGAGTTTGGGCTCATCCTGGAGAAGACGGGCTCACTGCAGGCTTCTAAGCAGGGGGATGCTGAGTGAAAGGAAAAGGCCCCCCTCACTCCTCTCCACCCTCTCGCAGCCCCCGGGAATCTGGGCCAAGGCAGGATCATCAGGCTTCTAATGAATGCGCCCCGTCAGGAGCCTGTCCAGCCTCCATATGGTGCGTAAATAATTTACAGTGACGGAGCGTGTTTATGTGGGCTGGCCGCCAGCCGCCTGGCTTCTTCAGCCTCAGCGCTTCCTCTCGCTCCACCGGCCAGCGCGGTCCCGAGGCCCCACAGGAAGGAGCCAGGCCCAGGAGTACCCACACTCCCTCCAGCACACTGTCCCCGGGGAGGCAGGGATTTCACAGTCCAGGAGGCCGCAGGGCCCTCAGGCCCGGTTCCCAGGGAAGTCACGTCCACTTCCAACCCTGGGAAGGCCTGCGGGGCCTTTCCTGTTCTCAGCACTTTTTTCAGAAACGAGCCAGAAGGTTTTATGTGGCCGAGGGGACGGGGCGAGGGCTGGGCCCAGACGCAGCAGCGAGCCGGGTGGTGAAGGCCCAGCTGGGCCAGGACCCGGCTGCCTCCTCCGTTTTCCTGCCCACAGGTCAAGGTCCCCCTGGAAATCTCCTCAGGCATAGGTACCATCTCCCCCTCCAAGGCGGAAATTAAATCAGTCCACCAAATGCAGGCTTTAATAAGTACAACAGTAGGTGTGATTTATAATAAGAAATATCTACTTGGTCTTCATCCCCAGCCCTGGCACAGAGCTCCTAACACCCTTGGAATTTCCTTGAGTGATGAGAGCAATAAGGTGTCTTTTGTTCAATTAATGAGGTAACTTTTGGAAAACCCCTTAGTCACCTGAAGAAGGGGGCTGGTTGCCAGGGGAACCAATAGTGTGATGAGAAGACTCTAACTTCTCTCTCCACTCTCTCAGACCTCAGGGAGGAGAACGGGGCCAGAGGTTGAATCAGTTGCCAATGGCCAATGAGTTAATCACGCCTGTGTGCTGAGGCTTCCATACCCCGCCCCCCTCCCCAAAAAAGGGGAGAACTAAGGGGTTGGTGAACCAGGCCCCAAACTCTATGGGTTCCAAAGTTCCTGTGTTTGGGCCTCACCCTATGTATCTTCAATGGGCTGTTGATTCATGTCCTTTAATATCCTTCATAATTGG